ATATAATTTAAACATGACTTTTGGTTTAATAATTTCAACAATTTTTACTTCGCGCTTGTTTTCTATTAGCCAATCAGGTCTTGAAACGTCACAAAATGATCTACAAAAATTAGCCAATCAAAATGAAAGCCCGCTATGCTTGATAAAATAACGAATTGCAAATTGTGTGATTTGATTGGCTAATAATCACATGTAGATCTACAAATTGATCTACAAAGCTAGCCAATCAGACGAATTTCTGCCTATGACTGTACATGCAAATTGAACTAACGCTACGTAATTAAAATCATAACACGGCATGCATTGTGATCAGTTACACATGTGTTTAACATTTATGCTACACAAGTTTAAATTAATAATTAAAACTTAGCCGTTAGTAATTGTCAGAAGGACATTACGGTGGAGTCATAGAACACTATGTACAAATTAAGATTTTGTTAGAATTGGTGAGATATAGTAAATAATCCAGAAAACTCACCAGTATTGTGTGTAAAATCTAAAGGAAAACTTTCCTCAACATAGTTTTTTATATAGAAGGTGCACAAATGAAACAAAAAAAAAAAAGGTGGAAAGAAGCAGATAGCACTAGAATATATAGATAAATTTTCTGAGTTTTGAGATGCTTAAGTAATTTTATTATAAGCTATTTTTTGTGGCAAAAACTTAATTGCAAGTATAAATTATCTAAATCGGAATATAAGAAAATTCAAAAAGAAGCTACCCATCTTTTTGAGCACACGTCAGATGCAAATATTTCAGACTCACATACAAAATACGGAGATTGTCTTTTTAATGGTCATGCAGTCACAAAAATCAAGCATGTGCTATAGAACTTTATAAAAAGACTGCTAATGTAATATTACGAAGTTTTGGCAAGGATAGAAGACAAAGAAGATGCACATTATTTAAAGTTTGCTGCTTGGGAAAATTATAAAAAAGTCATTGATTTCTGCAAAAAATATGACAATTAACCTAGAATTATATTGTTATACGGAATCATCCAAAAGTAGTCACAAAATAGCCTTGACTATTTCGTGATCCTGTAATTAAAATTGTTAAGAAACTTGTATTAGAATCTAGCATTTTATTAGATTTCCATTATGTTTTGTGTATCGTTATATTTTATATTTCTATTATATCTAATCGTAATATTATGTAATTTACCAATTTTTAACAACTCTAGTTATATTCTAATTTATGTAAAGCATTTGTACTGTAAATTTTAATAAAAATATTTAAAGCTATATTAGGCACGTTAATTCAGTTTATTATAAAAAATGATCAAACGTATAACGATAAATAGGTTTATATCTGATTTTATAAATCATTGAGGGAGGCACTTGAAAACAACCTAAATTAACTCCAATCGATTTTAACATATGACAAATAAAGCCGTCCCAAATTTTACTATCAATAAGATATTTTTATATAGCGATAAAATCTGCACATGTATTTACGATATTATAATATTAGTTAGTCTAGGATATAATATTTTCACTTCATTTAATCAAGTGTATTGAAAGTTTCACAAAAACCGAGTTCATGTAGCCAAATGATAAGGTTTTTGTTAAAGAGATACTTAGATTTTGTGAATGCGTGCAAAATTTTGGGATACCTGAAGCTATTAACTGTTGTGACCTCAACGATCCTCACTACTGAATTGATTTGGGACTGTTTGACAAATGTTGGATGGGATTTTATTGATAATTCAGTTAGTTCTATAGTAATTTTCTACAGTCACTTGTAGAGGTCAAAGAAATGTTTATTTAGCGATAACAGAATTTGCCTTTACTAAACTTGAAACAGTATGCTTTTAACCACTCTTCTTTTTAAATCCTTATTTTTTAAATTCTTTACATGTCATACAGATATTACATAATGATTTAGACCACGTGAGGTTACATTTTTATCCTTTGTGCTACAGGAACATGCAAAAATATCATGACGGAGTTTTAACAGTCAACATTATCCACAATGATGTCTTCTGATTTATTTGATTTATATTTTTGCAATCCGATACATATGTATCCTAAAAAAGCTATTATTACGAATTACTCCTTTATGGAGCCTACAGAATTTTCATGGTCAGATAATGATAATTACTGCTTTATTGGTTTGCCTTCGTTGGTCAAACCATTACAAAAATTAAGCCAGTTCATTCATATAGTAGTAGTTATTTTCATCATCTTTCTAAAAACAAATTTACAGACCTGGTAGTTGAAGTGGGGAAAGAGCCTGATATTGAAAGATTTAACGCACATATAGAAATTCTTTCTAATAGTACACCTTATTTTAAATGTGCTTTATCACCATCTTGGGCTAAATTTGAAAATGATAAAATTATCTTTAAGAAGCCCAATATTGTACCGAAAGTGTTTCTCATTGTATTAAAGTATAAATCAGATTCTTTATAAAAATTAGTTGATACTGTTTATTATTTGAATGCATTTATTAACTTTTAATCTTACCTTTTAATTCCAGCTACATTTATAGTGGCAAAGTACTTTGGATGCAACATGCTGAAAAAGATATATTGAACTTTTTGGTAGCTACTGACGAACTATTAATTGACGGAGTTTTGGAAGAAGGTCAATGGCATCTTATTGAGAAAAGATATAAATGGATATTATGCAATTTGGATTTGGTTACTTTTACTAGCTTCAGATATAAATCACTTAAAATACTTCAACATTATTGCTTAGAGGAAATTTGTGAGAATCCACGATTACTCTTTAGATCAAAATACTTTTTAAAACTTGATGGTAGTTTCTGGATGAAATTTTTGAAAATGGATAAAATTCAAATGGAAGAATTTGAAATTTGGCACAATTTAATTTTATGGGGAATTGGTCAAATTTCAGGAACAAATAATTATTTTTTTAGATTTTCTAAAAAGGAATTGGCCAATTTAAAAAATATATTGTATAGCTATATTCCATTAATTAGATTTACTGAATTTACTGTTAATCAGCTTTATACTTTTGTTTGGCCTTTTAGAGATATAATTGATATAAAGTTAAGAAATGAAATCGCAGATTTCCAAAATAATTTAAAACTACAACTTAACATAATTTTAGAACCAAGGCAACCAAAATTACACTTCTTTGAATCCAGCATTATTACGCCATTACAGGCAATTAAAATTATTCACAGAATTCCAAAAATTAAACAATTAACATTATCTAAAATTCATTGTGAACTTAATTTACTTTTGCGAGGCACTCGTGATGGATTTACATCTAAAGTATTTCATAAACTTTGTGACAATAAAGGGGCAACGATTGTAATTATGAAGGTCAGAACTTCTGGTGAAATAATTGGTGGATACAATCCTATATGCTGGGGATATCAAGATGGTCCAGAAAGTTTGATTTATATTGATTCTTGTAGAAAATATCTCTACACAAATAAAAGCTTTATATTTTCTTTTAACCCCCGCAAAAATTCTCAGAATATCAAGTTTAGTTCAGCTAAAGGAAATAATAATCCAGCAATCAAAGATGACCTACAATTAGGCCCCTGCTTTGGTAAACAAGATATTCATATGACTGACGATTTTAACAAAAATGGAAAATGCACCTCACAATCTTCAAGTTTCGATGATATTATATCGGCAAAAAATTTTTCTATTATTGAATATGAAGTTTTTCAAGTTGTTTATAAAAGAAGTGATGAAAATAGATGGATTTCATTTATGAATCCTAAATATTTTAAAAATGATAAGTATATTGGACCGGTTTATTAATAATATAATGCTTGTGATTAGTAAAATATTATTTTATTAATCAAAAAAAGAACTAACAAAGACAAATATATCGATTTGGTTTATAATATAGTAAAATTCAACTATTTATTAGTTGTCAAATTCAGTACTAATTCAACTTTGAATAATGAATTTATTATATAGAAATACAGATCGTTATTTGATTAGCTAAACTTAAACATTCGCATTTTCACAATGAACTTTCATCACATCGTTACAAGGAATAATCTGATTAATTTTTAATTAATTGCAATGATTATGCAACATATCTTAATCACTCTCAAATCACATAAAAGGAGTTGCCCTTAATACTGGATTGAGGAAATTCCTATTTTAATGCAAATTACAAACGAAGATTTCGTAGAATATGACCTACTTACTGACGTATTTTATATATGACGAAAATTTTATCTTTTATATATGGTGAAAAGAAACCTTTCCTACTTTCTAATATTTTAAAAATACTATCTTGTTTAAATGAAGAATATATTGAATATTGCATTTCGATTAGATACTTTGGACTTAAAAGTACGCTCCATATTATTCGAAACAAGCATCCATGATGATACAATAAATAAATATAATTAAGGTGTAATAAATATTGTACACATAACTCTTTGATAAACGTCAGTACAAGTGACGTATACATACCAATAGAGATAAAAGTTGAGCGATATAAGATGTACATACGTATGCTTTTTTGGGGAAGAAATCACTAATTTCTCGCAGTCTTATTTAAACATATCAATCCTGCTTTTCATCGGACGAAATAAACTTCATAAGACTTTGAAACTTTCGATTTAACCAAATAACAGCATGCATGTTAAAGTAATACAACATGTTAGTTCTAATAAGGCACATGTAAGAACTGGAGATAAGGCGTGATGACTAATATGTATTTTTTGATCGTCCGGTATAAAGATGTTAAATCGTCAGTTCGGTCTATTCCTGAAAAATCATTGCGCTCTGGTCCAATTAATAGTATGTAACTGATCTGATAATACCTAGAGCACGAATAAATTGGGTAATTATTGTTGAACCCAGGCCAATTTAGTATATATGACATAATTATCTTTTGGCCTGGATTCAAAAATAATTATCCAATTATTATAATAATTAATATTACCATTTAACAGCATTTAATCTATGGAAAATGTTGATTGCCGCGTACGTGACATTATCACCTATAAGATTGATAAAATTTTTAAACCTCATTAAGGTTAGGGTTAGCATTTATATTAAGGTTAGGATAATGGCAAGGTTATTAGTAAAATTGCTAAGGAAACTTTTTAGTTAAAACAATAAAGGTGTTTCCTATGCAGATTTTTGAGTTATAAGCGATTTTTGGCAAAACACCTAATCTTGAATTCTGTGATATAAGCCACAAGCACATATGTGACAAATAACTTTATCCTAAACCATTAATTCGTATAATCTATTGATGCCAATTACGAAAAAGTGACCACAATCCTCACACGTTTTGACTTCGCATATTTCATTATTTACGCACAAAATCCTACATTACACATATAGTTTTCCCATGCCTTTAGTGTAACATTATTCAAATAGTGTATCTAGGTTCATTATTAAAGTATACATACTTTCAGTACAATTTATGTAAAATTATAATTCTGACTTAGTACTAACCTTCATTACAGTGCTTTTCCACGTATCACACCGGAAATCAGGAATCTAATTTGAAAAGCACTGTAATACGAGCCGAGCTTTCATTATACAATAACAGCATTAATGCTATTAACATTAATGCTATTAACTATAACTTCGTAAATTACATTACAATTTCCAACTATATTACAAAACCATATTTATCACGACAAATAGTGATAATATCGATATAAAAAAAAACACCACTAAATTTTACCATAGAATTACATACTGTATTTTCTATTTCCTTTTTTGCCTCACAATCAAAAAACTAATCTTCGACCTACGTCTTTTTGAAGTTTTTTATCTGATCTATATCATTAATACTATAACATTAGTACCAAAATTGCGTCATATTTGCTTCTAAAGTTTTTATTGTACTCTTAAACTTTATTAAAATTTTATATGTACACACGCAGTACGACGCATACCTTGTTAATCAACAACAATTAATATGTTTCGAATCAAATTTTTAGAGTCGAAAAGATAAAGCCCAATAATAATCATTTATGTCACTTGCATTTAAATGATTTTGTTTTTTCTTACCGCTATCCGTATTTAAAAAGTAAAATGAAAAATATTTATAACAGTTTGCGTCATAAAAAATCAACTAAGTTAGACCCTTATGATCTGATACCGGAATAGGTGTTAAAAAACATGAGTTAAGGTATTCATATATTACAGATATAAATAATTCTAGCGAAATATTTCATGTTACAAATTGGAGTTGAAGTTGATGAACTGATCTGGTGTTATCAACCTAAAAAATTTCGCTGTTAGATTAATTTAGGTTTTGCTATTAAGTTAGGTTAGAAAGAACTTAATAGTACCAAAATTTCGCAAGAAAAACTTTTTGTTAATGCGCAGGTGGCTTAATAGATAAAATGTCGGGTTATGAGCGATTTTTTGGTTTGTATTGATTTTTTTGCGTTTCTTCTGCGTCACTTTTGATCTTGAAATCTGATTGGCCAGTGAAGTTTTTAGGTAGGTAACGCTAGAATAGTTTTGGATGTTGTTATCAAAACGGAATTGGAGTTGAAAAGAATGAACATAAGGCATTAATTTAGTATTAAACATCTGCAGAAATTAGGCATGTTGTAACGACGTATAATGTTGGAGAATGTTATAGATATGGAATTTGAGTTGAACATAAATTGTTATATATTATTCATAAGATACATCTATAATAAATTTATAAAAAAAGTAAATTTTGTCTTTCTATTATTCTTTGCTGTAAACGTTCATTTAGCAAAATTGAAAAGAAGGTTAGCAAATATATGAACCCTTAATTCATCTACAAATCTAAACCAGTTACAAATTCTTTATTTCGGTTTATTGCAGTATTAAATCTTAGGACTTAAGAATTGTACAAAATATAAAGGAATACAGGCGAAAGCAAGTTCATAATTTTTATTCCCATGTACAGTATATTTAATAAGTTGAATTTATACTTGGTTATGGTTCGATATAGATAGTGCTGAACCTGTATAATTATTCATTTTAATCAAAATTGTTATGGTAATGAAGAAGGAATTATTCCTAATGTAACGAATTAAATTTTAGTTTCTTTATTTTTGTTCTAAACTTATATTTTAGTCGGTAACTTTTCCGCCTGTACATAGTTTATTAGTAATTCCCCAATCTATTATATTTATTAATTTCTTTTGAATATTTCATAACCTATACTAAAACGGTAATAATGGGTGGCTTGGTGGCTTAGCATATGTGAAATCGCGTATAACACCCAAATTATCGCGAATACGCGATCACACCAATTTGTTGATCCCTGCGCCTTGAGCATATACGTTCAAACCCAGGTGTATACACCCAAGAAATCGCATATACGTTTAAATTAGAGCGAAAACACCCTATAATATAAAAAAAATATTTAAGCACTTTGAGTTCAATAAAGAAAGGGCAGTTCTCATCCATTCTTAATTACAAATAATAAAATATACCTACTTATATGAATTTTCTCATGTGAAGCATTCTCTGAATTCGACTTGTAACTTTAATAAACCCTTTCAAGACTCAAGTCGATGGACTGAATTGACTTGTAACTTTGATTTAGATTATTAAGTCTCGGATTCTAGAACATTTTTGGAATCAGATATTGCCATTCACATTAGTGGCTTGTGGGAATTGTGGTAGAGAATGACACTTACGATTGGTTATTCAACTCTGGTAATCCATCACAATTCTTAAGATCACCTAGAGGTCTAACTCGATGAATAGTATATTCAAATATTCATTGAATATTCAAATATTCGAACAGATAAGGGACGTGTCAGATATTAGCTGAGATCAGTTTACTATAGAGCTCATCCCCCTCCCCCTGAGAAATTTAGTCATTCTGATTGGTCATATGTATATATTTAGACCTGATATTTTGTCTACCTCCCCCTACCCTATGATATCAGCTGATATCTGACACTTTCCTAATAGTTTCACCAAATAAATATTCAAATATAAAAATTATTTACCAAATAATTTAATGAATATTCAATGAATATATACTATTTGATTAATTAATTAAAATACTATTTAATTAACAAATAAGAAATAATGTGTTTGTCACTGGTGGTGACAGTACAGAGTGTGATCAACAAATACATTACAATCAAAATAATGTGTCAAAACTTACTACAGTCTGGGAATATTCCAAAAGTGGACATTGAAGATCACACCTTTTATAGTATAAGAATGTTGATCAGAAGGTTCTAGATTTGATGGCACTTGATATCAACCAATCAAATTAATTGAAAACTCATACAAACAAATACATATCTTATTAATGAAGATATTAACAAAGCTATTAATGAAGCTTACTTTTTATTAAATATTTTAAATAGCAATTTTTATTTTACTTAATTTGCTAATTACATATTACAATATTTGATTAATACTATTAAACAATACCACCCATATATATAGTATTACTATATTTAAAAACAACAACCCATACATATATTGATTTGTAATTTAAATCGTTCTTGAATATCTTGAGTGTTTCTTCTGTGAATTATACTGACACCTATAAAGTTGTAATTAAATTAAATCATGAAAGTTAATATAAATATTTTTTTAAATTGTTTAAATACAAAAACAAACTTTCAAGATCGGTTTAAGTTAACTGATGAGGATTTTTAACTTCCTATACAAAGTAAATACCTAGTTTTAGTGTCTCATTTACTTTAGCCAGGAAAGGTTACTGTACAGGATTTTTTGGAATTATTAAAATTAGACATTCTGAACTATGTATTCAAAACCTTTTCAGTTTTATTAATTAGTGAAAAAAATTTTTTTCAAAATGCACA